AGTGGGCGAAAAAACTCTGATTAAGCCATTCGAAACAGGGCCAATCATGTCAGTTTTTCGATTAAAAAATGGGTCAAATTCTTCCATTTAATTTTCAGACTATCTTACTTATAAGTAAAGAACTATAGTTTCTGACGCTCTTTCGAATGGCTTAACCAGAGTTTTTCGCCCACTCGTTCCCGAGATAGGGCAGTCAAACTGAAGAGTATGGCAATTTTGACTTAAAGTCGCGTTTCACACTAAGAAAAAAGCTTTTCAAAATTATTTTTTTACCAAAATGTAACTCGCGCTCTCTGTGGATTGATGTAGTTTTTATATTAGTACATGCAGCGTAAAAAAGGATTTTTATCAACTGTACGGAAAATTCTTGCCAACCTGAAAAGGTTCACTTTTCAGTCTAATGGGTCTACAAAGAGCAACAATTAATATTTCTAAGTTTTTTATCTACAAATATATTAGGGAAAGCGGAAAATATTTTGGTACAAATCGTTTGTCAAAAGTTTTTTTGATTGCCGAGTTATGCTCAAAAGAAAAAAACTTTGGGGTGTACGGAAAATTTTTACCGCTACTGTATATAGCAAGTAGGTAGTTTTAAAATTACTCACCAATCCTTCAAAGTACTGCAGGTATTTGGATCAAGACTTGATGATCATCAAGTACGTTTACTGGAGAGTAGTTTAAACTAATGTCGTGTGTTCCAATCTTTTCGTTTAAACGTCTATTTTTTTAAAGTAGACTGAAATCCACGCGTGGCAATCAGAAGACATGCATACTGAAGGTATATTATAATAATCGTGTATAAGCGGCGTTTTCCTCCAAAAACGCTTATAAAATTACCCATTCTGATGTAAGACAAACTTTCATTTGAAAAAAACTACAACAAAATTAACCAAGTTTCTCGAAACAAGATAAGAGATTTACTCAACTTAAAGCTTGCTATGGCATGATTGAAGTTAGGTAACTTTCTACTGATCCAGTTAAAATGGGTCTGCACTATCCCGGAAAAGCATACTTTTAGAAAAAGCACACTTAAACTGTGCCAATGACATGGAAAAAGTGTACCGAAGTATGCTTTTACCCTGCCACTGGCACATTTCTAGTGTGTTTTTGGCACACTTTAGCATCATTAGCGCACTTAAAGTGTGCCGATGATACACTTTTAGAAGTGGCACACAAAAAGTGTCCAAAAATGCTACCGTAGTGTGCCAAAAGCACACTAGAAATGTGTAAGTGGCACGGTGAAAGCATGCTAGCAGCACATAAAAAGCATACTTCGATACACTTTTTCCATGTCATTGGCACAGTTTAAGTGTGCTTTTACTAAAAGTATGCTTTTCCCCGAACAGTGTGCCTAAACGCAACAAAAGCTCAAAATGATTGGCCCAACCAAGTCTTCAAATTGTGACTTTATGATTGGTTGGACTCGGCCAATAAATATATAAAGACTGAACTATTATAGTTATTGCACGATTTTACCTGATGGGGTCCTGTCTCTATGATGCATCGCTACTATACCAGTGTTTCAAATTTTAGCGGAAACTGGCTCCGCTTAGTATCACAGAATATATGGATAGTTTCATATATAAGTTTGTAATGATCATGAGAGCGACACCGTCGATGTCCATACGTCGAAGGAGGTGTCATAATTTTTATTCAGTTTAATTATCTTGACCTAGACAGAGTAGTAAACTGATCAATGCGACGCTACAGTTAATAGAGTGACCGTTAAAGCACACACATTAACCTTGAACGAAAAAGCACAGAGCAGTCAATCAGAATCGAAGAAATTTTGCACTCTTTTGGTAACTTTTCACTGTGTTATACACTTGAAGTTGATGGTTCTATTCGACTGATGATCGTATCCTCTTATTTTGTCCCGTACTTGTTTCGTCCCTTTTATTTTTATTTATCATTCTATTTATTCTATCACTATCTATTTCTTTCTATCAACTGTATGTTTTTCAATATTAATATAATTAATTAAGATAATGAGTTTCATTAACTATTTTATTTACAGTTTGCATGAAACACTAATTTTACATTACTAACACATTTAATTGCAAATTCAGCTCTAGACAAAGCACCAGTTCTGTATTCCCTCAATTTATTATCACAATTACCATAGACTTTCGTACGATTAACTGTTTGTGTTAATGATTCTGTGTAACATATGATTACATTCATCATTCACAAAATGAGACGAGACGACACAAGAGTAATTCCCGATGATATGCGTATATATGTATGTTGTAGCCAAAACTGGAATTCAGTCATATCTTAGATTGCGCTCGCCAAAACTACCCAGGACGGTCAAAACGGCTTGCGGCCCATAATACGCCAGTAAACGATAAAAAAACGGCACCATTACGGCAGTAAACGGTGAAATACTGACCGTAAACAGCATGTATTATCCCCGCACACACCCATAAAACGGTTCATATCTCACGTAAAATATATTGTAAACGGACGTTCGTATGCGGTAACCCATACGGACCACCGTAAATATATCGTTTTTTATTTTAATATGCCGAGTCACGACTGTAAGCGGCAGCTACTATACTGAAGCGTGTTTCACCAAAAATGTTAAGACAAATTTAAGTTAGACTTATGTTACAACTGTGACTTGAACAAGCATTAAACTGCTCATGTAGAAATTTGGGTGTTGATAAACGCGTTGCATTGCTAACGTTTTCGTATGAAATTACGCGATCCTTGCGTACGTATCAAAAAGGGTTTAATGTAACACTTCGGGTTTATAACATTCTAGTGGAATTTCGGGTGCATTCTACATACCATTCTGTTTTAGCATACAAATATGTAAGAAAATGCTGTCAAACGACCCGTTACAGATTCCTAATAGTACTGCATAGTCGTGCTTAACACGAACGCATTTTAACGTAAGAGTATATTGTTTGTGCGAAAGACGCAGAAAAGTAGAAAATAGATGCAGTAAATTCTTAAGTGAGTAAGGCAAATCTTAATCTGTTTTACAAAAAACAGTTAAGCATGACTTAAGTTAAGTTGGAACTAAGTTAAACATGGTCATGATTCAATAGGAATAAATTTTTGCAACTGTCGCTATTTTCGGCATATACCATCACATGCATTGCTAATTTATAGATTCCATTCACCCATGTCACACAGTTCAAAACTTTAGTATCACTGATATCAACATATTACAAATCTGTTTCAATTAAGTTATAGTCAATAGTTTCATTATCTGATATGTTTAAGTGAGTATCTCGTCTGTGCAAATTAACGTGACTACTGCGCAAAATAATTTTTGAGTTTGAGATAAAGGTCTTGAAAAAGCATGTTCTTGTGTAATGACACTTGTAATACGCTTAGGTGTCCATGTAGAGGAAAACAAAGCTAAATATGGTACAAAATGTCACCCTAAGAAGAAAAAAAATTTGATCAAATGTATCAATATTTGTTTTTTTTTCTTTGTAAATAAATTTCGTGTTATTTCCCTATTACTAAAAAGATTTTCTAAGTTTTGAACGAAAACTTGGAATGTGTCTGCTATTGTCTTGCTATATGAGAAAGAAGAATTTTACCTTTTCCTAAATAAATATTATAAATTCTCTTCGAGTCGATTTATTATTGCCACATATCTTTTGTTCTCCTAATGCTGTAAAATGAATTTTCGTATACTTCATTTTCAATTTGATTTTTTTATAGACTTAGTTTTGCAATGTTTATCAAGTTATTAAGTCAAATTGACCTCTTGTTTATTTACATTTTACGATAAAATATAAAGACAGCAAACACATGCAATTCAAAAGAGAAAAAACGTAACCGACATGAATAAAAGTAAAAAACCAGCAAACAACAACTAACTCTGATCTGCTACAACTTTAATGTTTATGTCTGCGTTTATAACAAAAAAAAATAGACCATAGGGATAACGTTTGTATAATAGCGCGGACTAGAACACCGCAATAATTAAAAACAGCAGGAATGCATTTGGAGAGAAAAACATAACAATAACAAAGAGTGAGAGAAATATTCAGTTTTTCTGCGTGTAAAAAAAAGAAACGACCGGCATTAATTCAAGAGAGAATGAGAGAGAGAGAGAGAGAAAGAGAGAGAGTTCACTGTCTGCAACGCACGCTTCAACTTTACGTTTTGGAGAAGAAAATAATAGAAAGAACAAAAGTGTGTGACATGAGAAAGAAGTGCTATAACAACAAAGGAAAGACAGCTATCTGTAGTAATGACAATAAAAAAAAAACATAGTAGAAAAGAACAGAGAATGAGAGAAAGCGAGATATTAAGCAAAACCAAATCCGGCACATTCACGTATTGCCATTAATAACATGTCACGAAGTTTATCATAACTTTCATAGGCAGGAAGATCAAGTTGATTAAAACTAAAATAATTTAGAATATATATTTAATTTTAATAAATTTTTTTATATAATAATACTTACCATGTATGTGCTGATGGAAGACGATCGGTTGAACGATCATCACGATGAATTTGAAATTTTTGTGGACCATTCATACCTTCTAAATGTGCAAAACCTTGTAATGGAACTTTTGAAGTACCAGTGACAAATTGTAAAAATTTAGCTAAATCTTCTTTATCGAACGAACGTAATGCACGCCAAAACCATTGTATCTAGAAAATAAAATGTCGACAAGCTATATTTATCTGTCACAATAATGAAAGAGATGTGAAAGAGAGAGTGAGATAATTTTGTATCTTATACACTGAAATAAAGTTTAAAGTATTTGTTCGAAGCCTGAAATAAACAGAATTTTCTGCTCTTTAAAATCCAGTATGTGGTACAATCACACCACATTCTTTAGCTAGGTCTTTTCTGCTCTTTTTTTCCAAATATGATGTCACCTGGAAGGGCTAATTTTTTCTGATGCACTAAAATTTCTTTTCAGTTTTGATGTCGTATGAGTGAGCAGTAAAGAAAAGCTCTGATTTCGCTAAATATTTCTACACATGTCCTTTTCGCTCAGTTTCCAATGATTATTCCGAATAATATTACTCAAAAGTTGAAAAGTCAATGAAATTATGACTACACATCATCATAGTTTTACTTTTTAACTATCCTTAATCTGCACTATTTTTTTCAAATGATGAAATAATGTTCGATTTTGGAATCTAGTGCAAATTCTTTGAACTTTATTCCATTGTCTGAAAAATAGAAGTATCCTGCTCACCCGCTCGAAAAAAGCTCTGTGGATGTTCTATTCGACTTTTTTTCATAACATACCTGCAGTGAATTTGGACGATATTTGTGATATTCTGTATTTGCTTTCAAATCCTCAGTATCAATGTCTGGCAAGCCTTCAATGGAAAAAGAAAGGTAACAATACATTATAAGTTCTCTTTGACGTCTTAGCTACAATCATACCTGATATCAATAATTCTAACTCTTGTTCATTGAATATAGATATTAAATTTTTTGGTATAATTGAATAGAATCCATCTAAAAATGCATTGATCTGTTGTCGTATGGATCCAATCATTTTTTCTTGACACACTAATCGAACATATTCATGTTTATTTTCATTTGTTACGGGTATATTTGAACCATTTGGTATTAGATCATTTGTTCTATTTACACCAAATTCACTAACATCCAAACTAAATGTTAAGTCTAGATTAAGTGTATGAATGTCACTTTCTAATAGACCAACTAAATTTTTATAAAATTCTAAATCAACACTTTCCATATCAGTATAACGAACGGGTACACCGAGAATATGTTTATAAAATGCTCGTGTAAAATAACAATCCATATATTTATTATCGAAAATAGCTTTAGCAATGATACGTCCAATAAATTTAAAATAACTAATATGATTTGCATTACAATGTGATAATGGATTTGGCATATATGTTACACGATCACCTGGATTTATCATAAATAAGGCATAATTGGGATTAAACATTTCTTTAGCGATTATTGAATACCATTCACGTAGTAGACCACCAGCATCTTGACCTTCTTCACCTTAAAAACAAATGATCATCAAATGTAATGAAGTTTTTTGTGTTTTCTATCTTATAAATGTATTAAAAAAAAACTTACTATCAAATACAATATATAACCGATGTTTCCAATCTTCTTGTGCACGACGATTCAGTTCACGAAATGAATCTTCAAAAACATGTTGTCGTCGTACATGTACAGCTAAATCTTCACCACGCATATTATCTTTAAAACGATCTAATTCATGACGAAAATATTTTCGTTTAACATCAAAATCTAATATATTTGTATAATCTGTTAAAATATGAAATGGTCCTTCACTCAAATGTTGTGTACTTTGTCTTAATATCTGATTTAATACCGTACGATGTGTACGAGCAAAATTCAAAAATTTTTGTGCATCCGGTGATAATTCAACTGGTTGTGCTGGAGTTTTTAAAACTAATGTAGGTGGCATTGTTGTTTCTTCGGTAGACGATGGTTTTGGGACAGTATCGGTGACTTGAGATTCGACTGCTGACACAGTAGGTAATCGTGATTCGGCAAATGGTTGAACTAAAGATGCTGCCGGACCAAAACATTCTAAATGTGCCATTGCTTCACTTTGTTGACGATCCTAGAAAGATGGATAAATTATAAAATTAACTTTTATTTATGACTTTAATATAAAATAGTCAAACCTTTTTCTTTTTATCATCTTTTTCTGTTTCTCGTTCGGCATCTGTTGCATGTAAAATAAAAAATGCTTCAACAGCTGGTTGTAATACGAGTACAGCATGTGGATCGGGTAATTGAGATAATGCTTCTAGACAATCACTTAGAGAATCCCATAATTCATTTATATTTAATAATTCACTGAGTTTTGTTTGTTGAAATTGTGTTTTCTTGATTGTATTCGGCTCAGTTTGATCTCCAATTTCCATTGCATCCGTTGTGATAATCGTAGCATTTGGCTGTTGTGTTTCTAGTGGTGCTGTAGTGATCGCTTGATCCGTTGATGCAGTGGTGTTGACCGTTACATCATTTAGCACAGCATTTAGACGTGATGTCATTGCCTGTGATAATGGTACATTAAACTCATCGACAACATTTTCTAATTGTCTTAATAAACGTCTCATTTCTTGTACATCATGAATTGTATCAGTATTTTGAAAGGTGAATTGCTGTTGTTGATTTGAAGTATTCATAACTGTTGTTAAACGTGTACGCATATGCTCTAAACGTTGTATTAATTCATGAATAGGTTGAATTTCACGTGTAAGTGCATCCATGCCACTGTCTGATGACGGTGCAGTTGCTGATACTGTATTAGCTGATGAAAGTGTTCGTAAAGATTGTCTTAAATTATCTAAACGTCTTGTTAATGCTTGCATTTCTTGATCAAATTGATGCTGTTGATCTACCTGATCTTTCTTTCTTGCTTCACGCAATTGTATTATAACTTTTAATATACGTAATAAAAATTGTTGATTAGCCGTTTTTGATGTTAACATAATCATGGCAGGCAATTGCAAATCTTGTTGCTTGTTCGTTATTGTTGCTGATGTACTGTTTGTAATATTTCGACTACTATTGTATCGTTCAAAAAGATTTGACGACGAATCGTCAAGCGGATGATGGTGTTGTTGTTGTTTTTCAGCTGTCTTTTCATCCTCCGTTGATCTGTTTTTGGACAGATAATCTTGAACTTCCCAATGAAGTTGTCTAAAAAATAATATATACATAACGTAAATAGACGTTTCATTTGTATCTAACTTCGTTTTTTTTACCTTATTTCTTGACTAACATTTTTTCCCAATAATTGAATACCATCTAATAACAAACGTAAAACTTTTTCTCTTGTTTGTAAATTTATCTTAGAAACATTTAATAATAATATTGTTGCAAATTCCAAACCATCTTCTGTACACGATTTTGATATTAATGCTTTGATAACAAGATCAAGTTGTTTACCTAAAACGACTTGATCATCGGATACAATTATTTTATTATTGATTTGTGCAGATTGTAATGATTGTGATAAGGTTGGATTTTGAATATTGTTAATAGATGCTTGAGCGACATTTGCAATTTCTGTGCGTGGTTGAGTTTGTGTTAACGGATTTTGTTCAACATTTGATAAAAGTGGTGTGGATGTTGTTGGAGGTGACTGTACTGGTATATCTTTTTTCGTTGTTATATGTATATGAAAACTTTGTGAAATCAATGATAATAATTTAAAGAGTTTATCCATTAATTGATTATTTTTATTTAATATTGGATGATCTAACATGTACATGAGTGCAGCTAATGGACATGATTCAAAATCACTTTCATTTGTGGTTGTGGCTGCTGTTGTTGAAGTGGGTAAAGGAGGACGTTGTGTAATTGATGTAGATGTTCGTTGTGTGGGTGTAGACGAAGTGTGAGAAGATAATGTTGATGAAGGTATTGACGATTGGCGATTTAACGATAGTCTGTTACCAAATGTTTGATCTAATTTTAATAATAATTCCCAAAATGAAATATCACGACTGGAAGATTTGACTGTCGATATTTGTTGAATAGTTGATATTTGTTTTTCAGGTGAAATTGATGATTTTGTTTGATCATTATTAACAATTGTCGATGGAGAATGTGTCGAAAAAGCTAATTGCTGATGTTGTTGTTGCTGTTCAGAATTTGTTAGTGGAAGAAAATATTCTGGAAATATTTTAGCTAATATAATCAAGGCATCAATTACTTGTCGACAAACTATTGGACACGCTTGCGCATGGACAGAAACCTAAGTAAAATGACAAGGTAGTTATAATCATAAAATATTTGAAATATAATGGATTTTAACAAGCATTCTCCCAAAATTGATTCCCATCCAAAAACTAACCTGTACATGTCCGCCTCGTTTTCCTCCCAAACGTTGTATTTTAAACACATTTGTTTTAGCACCAAATGCACTATCAAAACTAATTGTTAGCCAAGATGGATTAATCAGTTTTAATTGTGAATCTTGTAATTGTTGCTGTTGATTATTTGTCGGATATATTATAGATGAATTAAATACTGATGAACGGTTTCGATCCGGCGTTGTACTCAATACTAATGTTGGTGCTCCCGGTGTTGATGTAACAGAAGTATTTGGTGTTGGTGGTGACGAAGTTGATGATGTTGTTGCACGTGTAGATGATATTTCAAATTCTGGTTTACCTGTACTTTTATTCATGATGGATAGCAAAGCTTTGATTATCCATGCTCGAGTGGGTGAATGATGACAAAGATTTTTTAGTACTTTTTGTAAACGTGTAAAATTTAAACGTTGATCATCGATAAATAATAATATTAATAAGCAACAAATTGATTCATAATCCAACAATTGTCTTCCACGTAGTCCAACTGTATCATTCGTCGCTGCACCTACTGCCCCATTACCACCACGTGATAATGAGTACCAATTTGTGCCAGCACGTTCTCCACGATTACGTGCTTCTTGTAGGGCACGTAAATTATACATACGAATTGGACGTGTACCATGATGTGCATCTAAATATGAACGAATAAAAAAAATGTCAAAAACGATAAATAAACAAAATTTCTATATAAAGAAAGTAGACTTACTACTTGTTAACATAGAAGTCATTAAATGTTGACTTCTAGCAAGAAAATTATGTCTTTGTAAATACTGACTATGTTGTGTTTCCATTGCTTGTCTTAATCTTCGTGCTTCATCAGCCATATCATCTGGTAATGCAGCTATCTGACTGTCTTCCATGTCAGCTAATACTTGTTGTCGTAAATGTGGTGGTAATGTACGAAGAAATTCTGCTGGTCCAGCATCAGTTGAAGTACCAGTTGCTGCTTGCAACGCAGCACGCGTTCGATTTCGTTCTTGTAATAATTCTTCTTGGATTCTAAACAAAAAAGATTTAGTTGTTATTAACCACAATTGAATGAATGCAAACAAAATCAATTCACTTACTCAGCTGGAAGTGCTTGAATAAATTCTGGATTAATATCTCCAAACATTTCACCTGCTACATCGGTGGGAATAGTGGCATTTTCTGCTGAGGCTGTTCCGTTTTCTCCACTTGATGTAGCACCAGCTGTTGCTGAAGTAGCGGCAATCGCTGCTACTCTAGCTGCACGTCGTTGATTTTCTTGTCGTTCAAAATTTCTGATTTGATCAGTTATGATTTCTTCACGCATTCCTTCGGGCAATGCAGCCAAAAATGATGGATCAATTTCTAAAATTCGCGGTACACGAAATTCACGTCCATCAAACACTAATGTTTGCCTAGAAATATAGTAAAACAGGTAGTGTTTCGACAATCTTCTTTAAAAGTCTAGGACTTTCTTAAATTTCTATTCGAGACTAAGTTTTTTTAAAACTTTCCCATTCCAGATTAAAAGCATCGAAATTCCTGAGCGACAGACCCATCTTTATACCATTGTCACATTGTATTCGGTGAATTTTTTTATTAGAACTACCCGACTTCTCGTCTAAGCGCTCTACTCTATGCTTTGGTCACAAGAATACCAACTCAGAACTAATTTATTTTTCTTACAAAAACTAAATTAATTCACATAGATGCTACATTCATATTAGAGACTAACGGGCAATACCTAAATCGACGTAATCTTTTTTACATGTTCAGAACTATTTACCATTCGACTTCCGGTTCTTCTTGGGGTACAACTGTTGGTGCTATTGACATCGTAGTTGCTGCTGTTGTTGTAGTGTCTGACACTCCAACTGGTGAATGCGACGTTATTTTAGATGAATCTTCAGATGGAACAACAGGATTTACTTCCATTAGCGATGTTTGTTCAGTGGTTGTTGGTACAGAGGGTGTGTTATCGGTAGTTACAGGATCACTGTCAGGAACAACATCCAAAACAATAATCGGATTTTGTGCACTGGGTGATGGTTGGTTTGTGGCCATAGACTCAACTGGAGAGGCTGTTGTTGTAGCAAGAATATCTAAAGGTAAGAGTATCACATTTGTAATTATTAGAAACTATACCTCAAAAATGGAAAATTTTCCTTCCGCTTTCTTGAAGCAAGACTGATGCTGAAGATGATGGATCCCTTTGTTCAAAAAACTTAACTGTTTAAGATTTGAAAAAAGTATCTTTTGACCGCTAAATTTCTGTGTGAATTTTCATGTAACAATTACATGTATAAGATTCATTCCTTTGCCACTGATGTTTTCAAAAAGCAAATTTGCAATCAATAACGTTGCAATCAATAACGTTTGCATTTAAGTTGTCAAAATTAGTTACTTACCATTTGATATTACGGTCTCTGGTTCTGGTGAAAAAGGTATTGGTGTTAATACTATTAGAGGATCGTACATAACGGTGTGTTGGACTTCAGGTTGAACAGTTACAGCAGGTGGACTTTGCATATCATCAGTTGCTGTTGGACGAGTTTCGGTTTCTACTTCCGTCGTTTGTGCTGTTGTAGTATCAGTTAATGAAGTTGTTATCTCATTTGCTGATGCCTGAATTTCAGCAGCTAACGCCGACGCTATGCTGGCCGCTTTTTCTTCAGCACGCTTCTTTTTCTCTTCTTCTTCTTTTTGTTTCTTTGCTAAGGCTTGCTGTGTTTCAGCTTCATGCGTTTTTTCTAATGGTTCGAGAATTTTTGGTTTTAATGCTGAAATGAAAAAACGTTATAGAGCAAAAATATCCATATAGACTTGAGGCGAACATACCTGAAACAGTGTCGTGCACATATGGTCCATCTAAAACGAGACTTTCTTCCATCCATCGAGCTAACGGCGTTCGAATCATATAAATTTTTGTTCCATCAATATTTTCATTTCCTTCATTCGCTTGTGGAGCCATATCCATTAATATTTGATCGTGAAGAAAACGCCAAGTTTCTGGATCATGTCCATTCGTTCCGAGTAGTATCCTTGTTGTTGTTGCACCCGAAGGAGCAAAAGGATCAACATCAATTTGGCCAACTTGTTGTAAATATTCAGCAAAACCACTTGCTCGACCAAGTACACCAGCACCACTAGTAGTGGGAACAAACAATGTACCTGTGTAAAAAATGTACTTATGAATTTCTGCAGCAAAAAACAACATACAACTAAGTTACTGATGTTTTAACCGTTTCTGTGCTTATTTTTCAAATTCACACGAAGAGATTTAACTGTTAAGCTATAAATCTAAGGACCAAAATCTTTAAAAACTGAAATAAAATGCTTACGTGTTGTTCGATTTCTTGGAGGTTGTTGTTGAGCAGCTAGCGCAGCAGCTCCAGTAAGTATCGAAGCTGCTGTTGCAGCAATAGTTGGCGCTTGCGTTGCGCCGGTGCCAAATGATGCTTGATTTGCTTGTTGTTGTGTTAAATGTGTTGTTGCCGCTGCATTTGAAGTACCTAACTGGCGGAAACGTGCGAATGCTCCCGAACTCAATTGATTATCACTATGATGGACTAATAGAGGATGTAATGCTGGGACACTCATTGGCGGTGGTGGCAATGCTGGATCGGGAGAAGAATCAGTGAGTCCATGAATAGACGGATAGGCTGTTGTGCGTATTCGGACACCTTGTAAATTTGTTGGTATTAATATTGGTTCAATATCAGCTGGAGACAATAAATTATTTCGTATTTCTGATAGCATATCATCATCAATATCAATATCATTTACATAGTTGACAATATCATTCTCATCGTCTTCAAACTCTGTACTTTCATCTTCCTAAAAATAACAAATAAATGTCATAGTGTTTAAAAATATGTCAAGTTATTTTTTGGCCATACCTCTTCATCATCTTCGTCCTCATCTTCTTCTTCATCGTCTTCATTGAAATGAAGATCACTAAATGGAAAACAAATATGATCAAAATGTTGCAACCATATGTGTCTAAGTTTTCGCAAAAAACAAAAACAAAATGGCAATGCTGATGTAAAGCAGTACTTCATCCACTAGACTAAAAATATCTTTTGGTCAGGGCTGTGTTACTAAGAAATTTGCTATAAAATTAGTTTCAGCGCTCAGTAAAAATTTATAAAACACATTTAGTATGTATACCGTTCAACCATCTCCTCGATATCTTCATTGTCGTGCATTTCATCATCCCCAAACGATTCATCGTCATCGACTTCGTCTCCACCAGTCACATTGACTGTCACATCATCTCCATTATTAACACCACCAGCTGGTACTATTTCAGAACGTTCACCAGTTGTACTTGTATTTTGTGGTCTACCTGTTTCAATGTGTCTAAAATGAATAACAATAGTGTAAATTATTAGCGAAACAACTGTATTTGGAGAGAGTTCAAAAAATGTTGGTAATAACGACGTACAGTAGAGAAGCATGATGAAAACAAAAGAAAAGAATCTGTGAGATCACATAGATAACTTACATATCAATCGCTGTTTCTTCTATATCTGTATTTGTATCATCTGTACTGTCCGTATCCTGTTCATCGTCATTTGTTTGTGTCGTAGGTGGAGCTACAATACATTAAAATGCATCTTCAGTTTCTATCGACTGTACTTTTTCTTATGTACCTTCAACACGCATTTCGTCTCCTTCTTCACTAGTTAAATCTTCATCATCGTCACTATATCGATGCTGTGGTTCTCGCTCATTATCACTTTCCATATCGATATCGTCTTCATCATTGTGACTTTCAAGATCTTCCTCATCATTTTCGTCCTCGTTTGTTGCATCTGATGAACTTGATGGTGTTGTTTGTGGCATATTCCAAACCTCAAAATGTGTACGGCCACCTGTAAAAAATAAAATTCAAAACATATTTAAACACTACTGTTAAACTCGAATAGTCGTGTCGTTTACAAGGCGAGATGTAGAGCTTTGTTCTTGAACACTTTTAATTATAAGAAAAATTTTATAGGAAAAGCTATGCATCAACTCAATATTTGCCTAAACTATTATACTGGTAAAGAGAAAAATGTTTCATATTGCTAAGCCTTTCAAAACAGCAAACTTCTAGATCTATCAGATCTCGTCAAGCAAAATTACAAACCTTGTTGATCTCCTAAATCTCGTGCTTCAAATTCAATATTGATTGTACCACCATCCTCCACTTCACCGTCGTCGATCTCTTCTTCATCATCATCACTCGGATCACCTTAAAACAAAAAAAAGAGAAATGCAACTCACATAAAATCTTTAGAATGTTACATACCACTTTCATTCGAAATAACATTCATTCGAACACGATTAGGATTATCGAAATCGTCAACATCCTGCGGTAAACTAGCTACTGGTTCCATGTCAGTTGCATTCATTAATTCTTCTTGACTTATACTAAGTAATGCATTCGGTCCAGAGCCAAGTTGTTCATTGGGCACCGTATTGTTTCGTTCATTGTTAATATCTGAATGATCAACAGGCATACTTGTAGATGTTGGTTGTGAAACTGCTAAATGGTAAAAAGTACATTAGTCTTTCGCTTCTTGTAAGAAATAAGTGTCTAATTTTTCTCCCTGATCTGTAGTACTGACCGATCTCACATTTTTATAAGCACTGGCCAATAGAGAAAGTTCAAAAGCTAACATGATCTGCATGCGGTTAACTCTTTTCGTCTAAGAGAATTCAACGAGATATTTCTATTGTATGAGATCAAATCAATCAAAAATCCTTGACGAAAGATTTCCGAAACATACATTCCTTTCACGATAACATTGATGAAAGAAGACCTAGTTTTATAAATCCGATTTGCGCTTACCTGTATTAGCATGAACGACGGTTTCTCTCGGAACTGATAAATCATTCGTAACTGAGGGTTGTTGAATAATATTGATTTGTGATGATTGTGCTTGAGAGGGCTGATTTTGATTTGCTATTGTGGTTATTGTTTGTTCTGCTTGGTTGCTGTTCGCTGTTGTTGTTATGTCCACTGTATTTGTTTGTTGCGTAGATGGTAAACTCGTCATTGTGGATGTTGTTGTATGTCTGTTATGTGGTCGTGCGGCGGGTACATGTAAAGATGATGCATAATTTATTGTCCGTGATAAGGTTTCCATTGGTTTCAATACAGCATTCACCGTTTCAACTAATTTTGGACTTGATAATTCAATACTGTGTATCATTTTTGCTAAATCATTAATCAAACCTCGTTTATACATAATTTTAATCATATTATTAATAATTAATTGTGGTACACGATGTTGTCCTCCCTGATTTGGTGGTTGATTTGCCGATGTATTAGGTGCTGGACATGATTCAATCATTGTATTTATAATACTCGATAGTGACTGTAAACGTACATGTTTTTCATCACATTCTGGAAGACTGATTGCTTTTGTTAATGATAATTTTACTTCATTTACTAAATTCATTTGTGATTCTAAACAGTGATTACATGCGGCCATAGCGACAAGAAATAGACGACATAAAGCTGGTGTATCTTTATCTTGATCGATTAATGTTTGATTTGTTCCAGGTAATAAATTATCGAGAATATATGATAGAGCAGAACATGATGTATCTGGTGTGTTTTTTAATGAAAATGTTTTTGTAGAAATCAATTTAGCGACATTAGCGTAAGAACGAATTAATTCAGCTAATATACGTAACACGGTTGATTTTGATAACAAACGTCGAGGTTTGGGGTACTGAATATGTACATCAGATTTGGAGACAGTGCTATCAGTATGCTCAACCTGAATAGTATCAGAAGTTGGTAGTTGCGGTAATGGATCTCCAGTAGACATTGCTGCACTACTGGCGGCTTCAATCGATGTTGTTGTTCCATCATCATCATTGGTCAATAGAAAATCAAGCAAATCCACAAGCAGGCGTTCTGCAAGTTCACCAACACTTCCAGTTTGATTTGTTGTGGTCGACGGTGGTACTACCATCGAAGTGGTTGAAAGTTGTGCGTTGGATGGGGTTCCAGAGACAGCATTTGTTGATTGTGGTTTATTTGGCGCACTAGTAGCCGGACGAGCTTGTAACGCATATACTCCATTTGATAAAGAAACAGATGGCACGATATTCACATGATCATCATTAGTTATTAATTGATTCGTAAGACGATTTGTTGCTCCACTTCGTCCAGGAGAAGAGAATAATTGCATGACATTTGAAGCAACATCAATAAACACATCTGGAGATCGACTCATAGCTGGACCCAATATTCGTAATAACACGTGTGGCTCATGAGATCCCGGACATCCAGGAGGAACACCAATTGAACCTCCATGATTGCCAGTTAATGCTTGACGTATAGCCTGTAACATAAGAACATTTTACGTTAGAAGTTAGAACTGACGTTAAAAACGTAGTTTAGTCGGAAAAAACTTGCATAGATCAGTGAGTAGAGTCCTGCGGGACAAACGTTTCTGTTGCCCCGAGCCTGAACATAAAAATTTTTGTCCCATTCTGTAAGCCTGGGCCCGTGAGTAAGTAAAATTGTCCCGAATCCGTCTGACCCATGAAAAAACTTTACGAGCTTTTGTGGAACTCCCTCACTATCTTCGAAGAAGAGGGAGTAACAGTTTTATATCCAAAAGCCGCTGTTTTTATGGTAAATTTGACCCCCGTTTTTCTAGGAAATGGGGTTTATTATAGTTTCTAACCAAATAGTCACTAATATCAGCCCAATTTCCTATATCCGAAGCCTGTTTCCTTTATATTATGACAAACAAACTTAAAATGAGATAGTTGAGAATCCTCTATCGTCCGTTGCTGCAGTAACGAGCAGTGCATGGCTAAATATTAACCTTTTATTTCAGATTAGAAATAATTTTCTTTTTTAAGACGAGACTCAGTATTGGGAGTTCCACGTTTTAGCGCCTTCAGGTGCTAAACTGCCAAGGTTTTTTGTCCCATTCCGTTCGTCCCGTATTTTTTTGAAAATATTTTTCTGTTGTGATAAACCGTAACTGTTACAAGAGACGCTTAAAGTCTCAAACTTATTTTTGCAAAAAACCAGCATGACAAAATTTAAGCCTAATTCATTTGATTCTAAAATTAAAAGTTACTGTATAAAAAAATGTTTTACATCCACTCACTTACTACCTCAGAATCAAAAGGAAAGAACTATAAACCTAGTTTTAGATATGGAACATCTTCTCAAGTTTAAATACAGACTATTTCACCTCTCCAGATTAATTTTTAGTTATTATAAAATTACGGCTTTGACTTGATAGTATTACAAGAATTAAACATTTGAAGTTGCAGCATAATTACAATCAAAAGACAAAACTTACCAAACAACATTTTTCTGCAACGGGTCCCGACCCCGTAAGCCCGGGCCCGTGAAATTTTTTTCTTGCCCCGAGTCCATGAACCCAAGCCCATAAATTCTTTTTTGTCCCGTCTCAGCTGTCCCACGGAACAGGACAGACGGGGTAGGATTCGGGACTGCCCCGCAGGAGTCTATCAGTGAGAACACCATTAAACACTTTACTTCTCAACTCTCTCTCTTTCTCTCTCTCTCTCTGAGTTTTTAAAAAAATGTAGTTGTTATTTAACGCCTACCTTTTCCATTGCTAACCGTAAGTTACTATCATCCTCCATGATATGTCGAAATATTAGTGTTATTAACGATGCACAACCTTGAAATGTAGATGTTTGAGTTAAACCGAGTATCGATTGTATACCATCCATTTGTGCAAACTGTTTCGCATACTTATAATTACGAGTTAATCGTAATATCAAACGTAAGAGAGCATGAATACAATCTGGATCGACGGGTAAACGTATAAGATGAACACAATTGTTTGTTAGTAATAGAGCATTTTCATCATTTAAAGAATCAACGGATGTAAATGACTGTTGATGTTGCTGGTCAGTATCCATTGATTCAATAACTGACTTTTTAGCTGGAATTTCATTGAGATTAGCTGTTGCACGACGTTTAAACCGTCGTTGTCGGCGTTCTTGATGTTGCTGATCATCATCATTATCACTTGGCGACGAATCACTTGTATCCGCTTCCATTGTATCCCAAGAAGATGGTGGAGGTGGAACGGGAGGGGGGTGAATTGTGTCAGCATTAGTATCGTCAATTGCATTGGCCATTGTTGAATCATTAGGAACTGCTGCCATCGTTGATGGTGGCTTTGGTGCAGGTTGTGGTTGAAATGTTAACATAATTGGGCGTTTATTATTTGTTTCTTCATTAATTTGTAGCATTGTGTTGAGTTGTATCAAATAATTTCGTTTTTGAACAACAACTTTAACTGTGACTTCTGCATTAGCCCATGCATCATCAATTATTTTATTAGTAGATGCAGGATAATTATTCCAACGTATCGTTCGTTCATCAAACCATTGCCAAACACGTGTCCACCCTTTATAACGCTAGAAAAAATATAATTGCATTAAAAAGTGATCAGATTCGATCAGGCTGATTTATTTAAAGAACAAAATTATCGAAAATTATTTATTCTACTTACATTGTAAATAACAGCTCGACGTGTGGATGCTAGTGCTACTTTTTCATATAAATCGATAAAGATAAATGTGGGTGCTAACCACGATGGTGTTTTTTTCTGATTAAAGTTAATTAAAAACTGTGTTGTACGCTCAATTAACGAACAAAAATCATTAATTAATTCATATTTTTGTGTTGTACGTGCACAAGGAAATGGCATTTCTTCAAATAAAAGTGACATTAACAGTGTACGACTAAATAAAATTGAGGATTGTGTATGTTGAAGAAAATTATTCAAATTTGTATCATTAGCTAGCGATGTTGTGGCCGTTTTTTCATATTCTGTTAATAAATTCATCAATTGATTAAAACTTGATTTTATATCATTGGCAATTATTTCCAAAAAATGGTCACGCCATTCACTTCCATTACGATGCATCGTTGTTACAACTAATTCACACATTTTATAGACAGTATCGGGTAATATGTCTAGAATTTTTAACATTATAGAATTTGTAAAACGATCAACAGATTCTTTTGATAGTGGTTCAATTAATCTCTCTTGTTGTGTGACGTCAGATGATAGACGAATACTAACGGAGGGTACTGTGATTGTTGTTCCAGAAGATGTCGTTGTCGTGGACGTGTTGGTAGTAGTCGAAGAAGAAACTGTAGTTGTAGCTGTTGAAGCAGATGCAAAGTGTTCAACAGCTGCAAGAGCACCGGCAGAATTAGCAGCCTAAGAAATATTTGTTATATAGGGGTAATTTAAAAGAAAAAAGCACTATCTTACCTCATCAACATCTTGACCTAACGAAAGCAAAAGTGCCCGCGCCATGTCAGCGTCCATATCCATTCCCAGAACTTGCATCTAAATAAAGAAAAAGAAATTCTTAAGACTTCTAAAAGCACTCTTTACTCTGTAGAAAAAAAACTGTTGATAACTGAGCTGGTGCGATCCTATAGAAATATTCACTCTGCTGAGATTATACAAGCATCATCTTTCGCTCAAAACCTCGTATAAACAAAAGAGGGCATAATATCGGTCTTCAACTAAGAAGAAAATGTTTTTGTTTTTTATAAAATAAAATTAAAATGTGACGAAAAGTGAATTTTGTACAAATTTAGAGCACATACACAGCAAGTGTTGACATAGCATGTTGTTGTTTCTCTAGGATCAAGCAAAATAAAAATACTGTTAAGCTCCAGAAACTGAAACTTAGCTTTCGGGAATACTTTCCTAAGAAAAACAAAAGCAAGGCAAACCTGTGGTAAAACAGCTTGAGGATGATTGACGCAATAATCAACGGCCAATTCAAGATTTCCTTGTGTTTGTAATAAACCTTCGATAGAGTGTTCTCGTGAAAAGCCCATACTCATTATGGCCGTAACATGTTCTTCATTTATAACCGGTGTTGGTGTTGTAATAGTAGCCGCATTACCTGGCAAATCTGAGAGATCCATAGCGACTGTGGATTGTGGTACTGTTGCCGTGTTTGTTGTTGTTCCTGCAATAGCAGCCTGTACTGTTTCTTCTTCTGATAATTTGTTTTGTATAATTGATTCACCTCTTAAAATATGACAAAATATCGATAATATACTATCGATAATTTTCGTTGCATTTTCTTTTAACAACGATGGTTTATCCCATAAAATTGTACAACAGTTTGTTAATATATGAAATGCTCGTTTATGTGTTTCAGCTAAATATCTTAATGGATCAAATGGTACATAATATGAACGTTCGGGTAAACGTTTTTTTGGTATTGAATGTGGTGATTCTAAAATAGATTTAACATTGACTAATCGTTGAATTAACATTAAAGCGGCATTCAAAAATTCTGTTGGTGGTGTGTCAAAACTATTATTATTCGCATCAATTTGTGTTGTTGTCGTTTCACTATTTGTTTTTGTTATTAATTCTAATGTCCATTCCAATGCATTAAATAGTGCATCTTGTGCTTTCGATGATTCAAATTGCTGTAGCATTAACATATATGGACGACGACGTTCATCAAATAACATTGGTGTAGCAAAACCGATTGTACAAATAAAAAATGTTAAACGAAATTTTTGATTTTGTACAGGCGATGATTGTAAATTAAATTGAAAACCTTCGCGTAATACGTCACTAATTGTAGCTGCTACTTGTTTAGCGGCAGCCGTCGGAGTATAAGCAGCTGGTTGTTGATTAAAACGTCTTGCATGTCTCATTTGGGGTGTTGAACATTGTCGAACTAATAAATTATATAATTCACCAAGAGCACGGCCCAATTTTGATGATACACATAACAACGGTTTTATCGTTTTAATACGTGTTTGGATATATTGTGATAATTTTGATTTACATTTTGTAAAATCTGTTGTATCCATTGACATTATTTCATCAATTTCAAATGGACGACCACCGTCACTTGTTGTTAATTCTTCTAATTGGGCTGATACCGAATGAGATGGTGAAGCAAGACTTTCAATATTTGGTTGTACATCATTTGGAAACAATTTCAAAAGGTCGTCTTTATTAAATATTGTTGTATCTTCTGTTGCTGTTGTCGAACACAATGATAACAAAACAGAACTTTCCCATATTAATGTAATACACAATTTATTTAAATTTTGTAATACACGTAGACCTTTTTCAGTGCCCCAATGACTAATAAGTAAACTACGTACTTCGTTTTGAGTTATTTTACATAGTGACACTAATAAGGAGACATGAGAATGAACAAATGATAAACGATGTAATAGTGGCGTTAAAGACGATTGATTTATGGCATCGAGTGGATCTATCGAAGAAGAGACGGCTTGAGCTAATTCATTTATTAATAATGATCCATCATACTGTCGTCCTTGATAAAATGATGTTAATGATTGTAATATTTCATCAAGATTCGTTATGGCGAATTCGATTACTTTATTATCTTTGACTAGTGTCTAAATTAAGACAAAATAACTATAGTTAGAAATTTCTCACCTATTAAATAAAATTTCTTATAATTAACCGTAAACTTTGTCTTTTTTTTTAGCTTATAAAATATCACTTTTTCATGGTGAAAACTTACTAGAGTTGATTTACATAAACCGGCAACACACGTGCAAGCCTGACTACTGGGAAAATCAATCGGCAAATTTTTCATATGCAATATATTTAACAATGGTTTCAATCCACCTAATTTAACAAATTCTTTTCCATGATCATCTGTTGTATTATTGCTAATGACACCTTCGACAAAACGCATTATATTTGCTATATAATCTAACAATGGTATAGAAATTGGTTCTTCTTTTGGCTGTTGTAGAGTAGTTTGTTGTTGTTCACTGTCTGCTGTTGTCATTGGTATCGGTGCTGATAGATTCGAAATGATCGAAGGAGAAACATTGAGAGTTGTGACAGTCGTTGTCGGCTGTTCTTCCGTAGTTTGCTGTTGATCTGGGTTAGTAGTTGAATGTAGATTGACTAAACGGTTAATCGGTAATTCATCATTTGTTGCTTCATCGTCCATATCATATTCATCATCGGACGATTGAGCATTACGATCGTTATTATTTGCAGCTGCGGTACGTGTAGCTCGAGTTGTTATTCGTATTGTATCGATTGTTTTTGTCGACGAAGAAGAGGAATGAGATTTTTGACAACAATATTTTGGATTATTTCCCATTTCAACAAGTTGTTCAAGAAGTTGAATAATCGATTTCATTGCTTCTGTACGTAAGCTAACCTGATGTCGCATGAGTTCATCGACAGCGTTGCCCAGATTAGAAGCTGTTCCATAAACTAAAAATAAAGTGAATTGAATAAGTCGAGTCAACGAGAGATTGGAATAATATTAGAAAGAGAAGAATAAGATCATTCTAAACAAAAGACTATAAATAAAGCAGAATCAGTAATCGTTTGATTTCAAGAGTAAGTGGTGGACAAAAGTTTAAGACCACTTTTATTTCTAGATTTTCTTGTAAACGAAAGTAGATAGAAGATATCCGACGACAGATTTGTCTGAAGAGCACTGTGGAGTAACTAGACACATAATCAAAAAATCTTAATCTAAACTTAACCGAATTAAAAAAATGAACTTTTACAAACTTTACAGAAGCCTAAAATTTTCAAAAATTTTTTAAGATTAGTTAAAACTCACTTTTGATCAGTCACCAAGATAAAGCAGACTTTTCTCATCCAAATGAGATATTCCGCAGATTTCTACGAGCTTTTTTGACCGAGTTATGAAGTTTCCCCAGAATGCTCAATGTCTTCTTTTTGCACTAAAAGCGCTTTGTTTTTTTTCTGTTCAATGCTTTCCAGAGAAACTTCATAATTGAATACTTGTTTTAAGTAAAATCAAAGAGAGCAGTTAACTTACCCGTATCAGCTCCACGCCTTCGTCGCATAGCTGGTAAATATTCTGGAGACAATAGTACTCGAAATAATTTTTCAAACGGTTTACACTCCATAAAATTTTCTAAACCTCTTGTATTTAAACACAATGCACTAAATACATTTGGTAACGACGCTAGAACGTCACGTGCTGCCGGTACATCTTTTTTCAATAGAGCATACATTAAAACATCGGTTAATCCATTATCTTGTAATGACGATAATTGTGATGGTTCTTGAAAGATAAACGATGTAACAACATCTGTGGCTAAATGAAACAACGATGGACCATAATATTCAGCATTACTAATGATATGTTTCAAAGAATTTGGTAATGAACCATCCATAATATGACGAGTTGATTCGACCATGGTCGGTTCAGAGAATGCTTTTTTCAAATAATTCAATATGGACTTTAAGAGAGCAGCACGTTGATGATAACATAATAGTCCTAAATTAGGTGCTGTAGTTGTCAACTCGAATGTATCATCATTTGTCTGTTGGTCTTGATCTAAATTTGCGTTGGTTGTTGTAGCTGATGTTGGTATATTTTGTTGTGTATCCATATCAGTTGATGATTGGTGATCAGTTGTTGAGTTTAAGTCTTCTGGTGTTGTCGGTGAATTAGGATTAACAAAATAAGATGAATCTGATGTGAAAATTTGAGTTTGTTGAGTAACCCGTTTTGGTGTTCGAATAATGAATGGTTGTTCTTTACGACATTGATTTACTTCATGCTACAAATTCAAAGTAAATAACAAATTAGATATATAATGCATATGGAAAAGTGTCATGTAAATTGATCATGTTGAAACGGAACTGATGTAACTCAAGTTGGTAATGCTATACATTCATATAGAGAATATTCAGCGACCGTCTTGATTCTTTTTATTAGTTTTGCTCTGTTTTTGACAATTCTATTCATATTTATTTGTCATAGAAATGCTTCGAATAGAGCAGCGCAGGATGAGTTTCGTACATCGTACCTTCGATTCACAATTCTATGTTGGAGATGATTAAGCTACAATTACTTTTTCTTACTCACTTCAAGGCGATTAGTAAATGCTTGTAAACCATTATTGGCTTGAAATGATGTGATTTCGAGAGTTGTTATCAAATCAATTACTCGTACAGCTCTTGTTACAAACTAAAATTGATTTTAGAATAAAAGTTTAAGTTAATCAGAAAAAGAAAGATCATACCATTATAAATTCTTGAGATTCGTCATAATAATTTACAACTTTGATTAATGCTTGCATAATACCGCAATTTACTAAAGCTTCTCCACCTTACAATATGAAAAACTATTGAGTAAAAAGGAAATATTTTTTGATAATTAACGTACCAGTTTCATAACTTGCCATATGATAAAGAAAAGAAAATAAAGATGTCGATAATGTTTGAGGAAAACGATCGGCATTTGGATCTACGAAATCAAGAATAATTGCATTTAGACAACAAGACAAAAGAGAATTAACGAAAACTAACCTGTTAATTTATCAATACACTGTCGAACAAGCGTTGGCAAAAAGCCATGGTATGAATTTGCTTGTGTTGCTTCAATAATCTCTTGCAATCGAGGTGGATGTCTAGAGAAAATAAAATTTTTAAAAAAGTAGGAGAAAAAAAAATGTTTTCTTTACTTCGTAGTTCGTTCAAGATGAATTATAGATGTCAATGTTTTCAGTGCAGAAGCTTTGATATCCTGAACAAAAGAAAAAAATATTTATCATATTTATCATATACTAGTTATTGTATGCTTACAATTAATGTTGTATCTCTGACATTTAATACTTCGACAAGTTCTTCAATTAATCCATCATAAAGAACATTATTTACATCTTGTATGGCAATTGAATAAACTAAAGCGAAAAAAATACGAAAGTATAGTGAGAACAAACTTTCTCATCTTAAAGAAAGTAGGTGCTTAACGTTACTTATACCTAATATTGATAATGCTTGCAAACGTGCTTGTATACAGAGTAAACGCTGTTCAAAATTTGGAAAAGCATAAGCCAAACGAAGATGAGTAAATAATTTAATCTAGAAAATTTAAAATTAGAATATATTTTAGATATCACTGATATTTAAAACACGTATAATACCTGTTTATCTTCTGCTAACGTGGTATGCTCAGCTAAAACTAATTCCATGACGGCTGCTGCATTTTCTCCAGCTAAATGTACATTCGGTACATCGATTTGTTTTGATATTTGCTGTTGAATCTAAAATGAAAACATAGAAACTAATGTTGCAGATAAAATCTTTAAAAATAGTCTCACTTACTCCTCCAGATGATAGTTCTGATTGCGTGACATAAAGGAAATGTAAATTTGTGGCATGTTCAGGAAACTCCTAGTGAAGGATAAAAGTTAATATTTAATCCAATAAATACTTAAAAAATTCTTCTTACTGATGAATCTCGTATACTACAACATCGTGCTAAATCAAAGCCATTTTCTTTTCCACCCCATGTCTATAACGAAAAAAAAGGTCATCATCTCATATTCCTCTAAGAAGAATTTGAATTTTTTTTCTCCTCCTCTTCTTACCTCAGCTAGATAAATTAAACGAGTAATAAGTGCTTGTTTTTTATCTAATTGTAGACGAGTAATAAAATTTGAGCGTTTACTGAACACATACAATAGAGATAAAACACCCAGTACAATATGTACATCTGACGATTGTAATAATAAAATTAGATATTCGATTGAATTATATAAATGACGTGAATATGAATGTTCAATTAATAGAGCGGTAAAATGAAGTATATCGAGAACAAGAAACTTTAACTAAAATGAAAACAAAAAATAATATTAAAATACGAGATAAATTTGATACTTAAAACATACTTCTCCATTTTCTTTTCTATCACAGTTTAGCATCCATGTGCCAGTTTTCAAACATGCCTCTTCCAATACCGAATCAAATAAATCTAATGCATCAATCCAATGATATAATTCACACTAAATATTAAAAAAAAAGTAATTAATAATGTAATTTAACGACTTAAACCTAACATAAAAAAATGGCACAATTTGGTTCAGCAAAATATAAGAATATTTCACAATCGAAAAATTTTACGAAAGCAAGACGTTCAAAGACAAGAGCAGGTCATATATGTTCTCTATTCTCAAAAATAGCGGGTCAGCTAAGCTTGGGTTAGCTTATGAGAGTTACAAGTAGATACTTTTTTAAAAACTAAATGAATTAACGGAAATATCTACGTGTCACTCTAATAATCTTTCTATTTCATAACAGCTAATTCTAAGTTTTAATTGTATTATCTTCATAAATATTTGTCAGAAAAAACAGCTCAAAGATATTTAAAGATATTCTACGTCAAAATGTTCACAATAAGATCAGAAAATCAAACTGCATATTCTATATATCTTCAAACATACTTTCGTAAAGTACTGTGAGAAAGCTTGCTAGAAAAAAATATGTAATGATTTTTATTTCACAAATAGTTTCATGTTTTATACTAACCTTTCCAATATGCCACAATGTTATCGGTTGTAATAATTCACGTAGTTGTTTTCGATCACAATTTTTTAGTTTTTCAATAAAATGTTTACAATCTGCAGGCTAAAAGAATAAAAATCATAACATACAAACGGTAAGAACGGTTTAAACTAAAAATTATAAAAATACTTACTGGTTCAAGCAGATACTTTTTGAGTTTCGATCGATCAATTTTCATTTTCTCTCTTAAATTAGAAGCATCTATAAGAAACTAAGAAAACAAATGTACATTTGTGCTAAATACAGAACTGAACAAATGTAGTTTTGTTCTCTCAATGCGTTTTGACCCTACTAGATGGTACACATGACTACCCTTTGTTTAAAGATCATCCAAGGGGCCGATATGTAGCTTTATAAAGCTGTATATTCTTATATTTTATTCTGACAGTTGTGAAATATATATACCCAGAAAATATTATTCTGAAAAATGTAGACGACTTTATGAATCATCGGTAAGAAAACTGGACGGAGAGAAAAGCCGAAAAAAGACAGAAAACGAAAATTATGAAGAAGCTGTGATATCCAGCAAAGATGAGCAAGCTTTAATGTTTCTCCACATATTATACATGTTCCTTCAATTTTAATACATGAAAAAATGCATCGTTGTTGTTTAGCTTTTATAATAATAATGTAGTGCAATGAAAACTGAATCAAAGCTATTATCCAATCAAATAATATCACACAGCATTTAGGCAAGAGTCGCGCTTAGTCGAATAACCAAATTTCAAATAAAACCAAAACTTGACTAAAAATAGAGATTATGTGATTAAAAAGTCCCACTAAATTCTGATATAAAAAATAATTCTGTCATTCGACTGAAAGTCTACGAAGTTGAAGTAATGGGTATTGGTAATTTGTGGATGAAAACCATTTTTGGATATCGCAAAAAAATATGTCTAAAATTTAATAATTAATCGTAATCATTAAGAATTCACAGATGCAAAAATTGAAGATACTTGATTTTATTTCTTGATGAACTAAGTTTAATTTTTAATAGAAACTATCTTCTGTTTTTTCTATTGTATTAGTTTTGTAGCTGATCATGTTATTTTGTGTCATTTAAGAATGATTATAACTCATTATTTTCGACCTATCATCGACAGCTATGTGTTATTGTTCAGAACGGCTACATAATTATGAATGATAATAGTGATTTAACGTACGTATTGAAATGGCAACAATTTATGAATAAATAGTCAGAAGTCTGGAGAGATTCAGAAATTCATTTAACTTCGGTACAGAAAACTGTGAGAGTGAAACCTCTTATTGACGATCAGTAAAACTTAGTCAGAGGCATAAACATGAAAGAAAGGCATAATACTTGAAAAATAAATTTTTATTTTTTTGACCACTTCAAAATAAAGACTTGATTTTTATATTCCCTTCTACTAGAAACCTTTTGACTCCGCTGAAAGTATCCGACCGTGCATAAAATGAATTGGGTTTTAGTGCTTCTGTCATTCATCTCACTCTTGAAATGCTTGAAAGACGTATAAAGTATGGGTTTTGTTTTCACATAGTCTTGATCGCAGAGAAAAAGAGATCTTCTGAAACATACTATACACTATTTTACATGCTTGAAGAAATATCATTTGCCCCTTCAGTCCTGAAGTTCTGGATAGATGCTTATTCTATTTGCTTGTTACTTTTACCAGAGAAGAAAAGCGAAGAAATTTACGATACCCCTAAAAATGTCACTATTTTTATTTTAGAAAAATTTCGAATTTTTTTACTCTCGATTTTGCAGCTCCACGTGCGATAGCATTCTTTTAATTTATAAGTCTATTTTTGCCATAAAAGTCTTCGAATTTCATATCACATTACTCTTTTCTAGTTGGTACTTGTCATTTTAGTACTTACGAGAAACCACAGCCACCACCAATTGTTTTAAAATTGAAAAAGTTTGACGATACTGGTCTAGTTCATCATCCATCGACGTACGCAGAAAACTTTTATTCCTTTCTTTTGATGAATCTAATCAACTTTAAATTTTAGAAGACCATCCGTCGATCCTGTGGATGGTAATACAAGTGCAAGTGGCAATGTATCATTACTTGTACGAATAAAAAAATCTTATCTTAATGGAGATCATAGTGACGATGATCATACGAAGTGAGACCCCTATCAAAGACCATAATGGAGCTTATAACTTAGAAATGATTATGTTTGTTCTAGTAATTCATCAACAGACTCTGTTAGACCGCAAGTAAAACGATCTAAAAAATCATCATTATCTCCGTGTGATAATATGAGGTATATCTGATACTGCATACAAATTTTGTTCTATAATACACCGATTTTTGTTCTATTTTACTTTAGCACTTTTTCATCAGCAATTTGTGATGAATTAAGTTCAAATCAGAAAATAAGAGATGTTGAAAAACGAAAAGCGACAGAAATAACACCATTATCCGAGTTAGTATATAAATTATCGTTTCAATTTATGCTCAATCACTCTGTTGTTTTAGAATGAAACCAGAACATTGTATGATTGCGGAACAGTCGCCTGCATCACCATTGGTCATTCGATTACGACGATATTCAGAAACGCCGATAGAAAATTCGAACAGGTGATAATTTATATTATGAAATTCGATTGGAAGTTAAAAGTTCAGAAACTACTTGCTCTAAAAGTGCGTTGACTCATATATCTTTCGTAGCATCATGTTAACCCTAACATACGGTGCAAACGAAATGGAAACATTTTCGAGCCTTATTTCTTAACGACAGAATGTAGGATTAGTTTTTGCTTGTTTGAAAGAATAAAGTCTGCAGAACAAAATAGGCCACAAACGTTTAAATTTGATGTTCGTTTTGTTGGGATAAAATTCAAATATGGAGCAACACTGGAAATATCTTTGCAACCTGATCTTTCAACACTTTCCGCCACTTGTCCTGTGGTATCGCGTGTTTTGAAGTTTGAACTAAACATAGCTGCAAATAGACCTGTGCAAGCCCTATCAGCAGTGTATTTGAAGTTTAGTTTTGGTTACGTTTTCGATGTGAAAATTCTATTTTGCGAAATTCTCCATCAACTGGAATATCAGTTTAGTAAAAAGTTGAAAACTGAGAAAAACAATGACTTTACAAAAACATCAAAAAATGAAAAACATTTTAAAAGATATGCTTTTTGTATCGTTTGTTATTGAATGTACTCCTGTTATTGAATGTGATCCAAGCACTTCGCTTGCGTAATGAAGCTGGAACTTGGGTCCCTTTTATTTCAAAAATAAATTTCCCTCTCTCTCTTGATAAGTACTTGTTAAGTGAAACTGCAAGTGCTTCCACAAAGTACTTCATAGTAAAAAAACTAAGTATTACAGTCTTGAAAAAGTACTTGTACAAGTTTATGGCGAGAAAGTGGTTCTAAAAATACTTGCCAATTTTTCCAAGTATGAAACATGTAATTAAGTACTTTAAGGGAGATGTGAGCGATCACTATTAGTTCATACGGTAACAACTTTTAGTGTATATAGTAAAACGGATTGTCACTGCTTCGTGTGACATAATCATTTTATAAAATGTTTTCTAATATTGAACTATCGTCGCACACAATTGATGTTTATAAAAAGACTTGAACAATAGACTTCGTCAATAAATTCAACGAATAATATAAGTTTATTAAACTGTATCTATTATCCAGTATATAGACATATGACATAGTTCAATCATAAGGAAACATTTTCTTTCTTTTTTTCTTTTCTTTTTTGACACACGCTGTAGGTCATATACACGTATAAACATCTTGCTAAAATTTGTTCTCCTACTTTTGTTTATTCATACACATACTAAAATGTGTGTGTAGATAGTTAAGAGAAAACAAATGTATCTTTATGTTGAGAAGAAGATTACCTAAATTGATTTATTTTATTTTTTTAAGTTATTTACATAATGAAACAACATTAACTAGTGATCAAAATCGAACACAATTATTATTAAAATTAAAGAAGAATGAATATGGTGAATTGACAAGTGAACATTCTCATCAGTCACCAACAACTCTTCAACATTCAACAACCGATGCAAATAATATGTCATTGTCACAATTTATTTTAACGTCTTCCAAGGATACAACAGATAATATATCTTCATCGACAACAACAGCAATAAACCGTCATCCACTGAAATCAACTGACGACGATAAAGTTATTCCGACATCTTCACTTCCAATATCATCGATACAATCAATAATTCAGCCAATGAATAATGAGCCACTTATCACCAACGTTCTAGCCAATTTTTGCGCAACAAATGGACCATCATCATCCTCAATAACAAATTCTCAATGGACAACTATGAACAGTAATAATCCCACTACTTCAAATATGTAAGTTAAAAATTCTGCTAGAATAAAAGTTCCTATTTATAATTTGCTTTCATTTTATTCTTTCTCAGCTCACCTATCGACACAGTATCATCACTATCATCGTCAACTAGTCATGCAGAGATTTCAAAGTCGTGTTCGTCAAAAGATAAATCAGAAACGTGGGTTAAAAAAGCAAATAATCTAATGATATTATTCATTTGTGTTTCTTCATATTTTAGACATACCAGAGAATTATTAGATGAAGCGTTAGATAGTGTAAAAAATGTTTTGATGCAAACATTTAAAAAAAATCTTGAAACTGGAAGTGAATTAAGGTACGGAGAAAGCTTTATTGTAATTTCCTTATTTTACTACACCTTATTTTGTATATTTAGTGCTTTGAAAAATACATTAGGATCTGATGAAGTGGCTGAAGCATTTTTAGCTAAACTAAGACAGTCACTAAAACGTGAATTAGAACAGGAACACGAACATCGAGTAGAGTACGTAAGATATTCTTTTTGCTTTAACTCTGTTATATGTATGGTTTCATTTCACTACTAGATCAAATCAAGAATCAGCAATTCCAAATTCTCCACCATTACTAACAACTACAGCTACACCACCAACACCAACATCACCTGTTGTTGTTACTAAAATAGCAAAGCGAAAATCATCAACACCATCGACAAATCCGAATCGTTTTGATGGCACAACTGAAGAAGAACTAACAAAACGCATATTATCAGATATATTGGAGCCAAATTTAGACATTGTCTTTGTAAGTTTATGAGACTGTTTGTATGATGATTGAACTAATCTGTACGTTTTTCTTTTATTTCAGGTTGGAATTAATCCAAGCTTATATGCTGTACATAAAGGTCATCATTATGGTGGACCAGGAAATCATTTTTGTAAGATCATTCTGAAAAATATATAGTCTTTTCAAAAATCAACTCTTTATCTTTTAGGGAAACTTTTGTATATGTCCGGTCTGATACCGAATGCGTTCAATGCGAATGATGATCAACGTATGCCACAGTATGGTATCGGATTCACAAATATAGTTCAACGACCGACAAAAGCTGCTTCCGATGTGACAAAGTATGCTGTGATTTTATAATTTTCTGTTTGTTTTTTTATCTACTTTATTTTTTATTTATTTTTAGAGATGAAATTCAGCTTGGTGCCGAATTGTTATTGCAAAAAATTAAACTTTACAAACCAAAGATTGTTGCGTTCAATGGTAGAGGTATGCTTAGATTGTTGGCTAAACAGTATAATGTTCTAAATATATGAGATTTTAGGAATCTATGAAGTTTATGCTGGGAACAAACATTTTCATTACGGAAAACAGCCGGAGCTATTTCCGGACACCGAAACAGTACGTAACACTAAAAAAAAACAATGTTAGATCATTCGCAATACGACATGAGTCTCATCTCTTCTGTTTTTCGGTTGTTTTAGCATGTATTTGTAATGCCAAGTTCAAGTGCACGTTGTTCCCAACTACCTCGTGCCGAAGATAAGCTGCCCTTTTATGCTGCATTGAAAAAGTTGAAAGAATTTGTTAATGGACAAAGAACAGAATTAAACGAAGGAGAAATCACGTTTCCCGATATAAAGATAAAAGATACAGATGATGTATTACAAAAAACAATCATTCGTATTAGTAATAAACCGTTTAGTGAATTATCAGCGGATGCACTGAAATCGTATGGTGATAAAATTCCAACGCAGCAACTTGCAACAGCATATTCTGTTAAATCAGAACCGTTAATACATTCACCCACATCTTTATTGGGTAATAATGAGCTTACAACGCAAACAATGTCGATATTAAACAATAATCATGGAAACTATAATAATAATAATTTATTGCGCTCTGATCCTCCATTACCTCCGTCGCCATTATCTTTCACATCACTTCCTTCTTCTGATAATCAATCGAGGTTTTATCCACAGAATCCCAGAGCATCACCACCGAATCAGTTATTTAACATTCCTCAAACACCTATTTTAGTAACGTCAAAAAATCAACAGCAGTTACAAAATCCATCAACAAATTTGAATATTTCAAATGGATTACCGAAACAAAACAATGTTGCTGTTAATAAGCAAATGAATGATCTTGTTATCAAAGTTCCTTTAAGTACACCGTCATCCACAATTATACCCAACGGTCAAGAACAACAAAATATTTATTCAGTACCAAATTCGTCAGTACCATCACAAATTGTGTTTCAACAACCACCAAATACCTATACTGTACAACATCATCCCCAAACAGTTTATGTCGGACAATACTCACAACAGCAATTATCCCACCAGCCTACACCACAGTTCTTGTATTCTTCACCTTCGACCATAAATTTAGGTATAAATGAACGAATGAAAGAAGATTCTGTATGATGTCCTCATTACCATCTTTTTGAACTGTCAGAAAAAAGTGTTTTTCTTAAATATTGCTGTTTATATATTGCTGTTCTCATGTGAAAGTATTTGAGAAAAAAATTACTTTTTGAATTTTGATGTCTTTTTCTTTCAGGTTCAGTTAATAACAGCAATGGGATAAGACCAATAATGACCAATACTCAATCAATTATGCCGCACCATCAAACTCTAACAATCGGACAAACGGTTTCAGTTCCATCGTCCGTTACACTTAATTCCTCAAACGAGTATCAACAACGTAATTCATTAATAACAAATTCGATTCATTCTATTGTACAAAATAGTAATAATACGTCTTATTCACAAATAATATCTCGTCAAATAATGAATTCAAACGAACCAACACCATCTGATAGTGGAATAACAACTTCATCTGCTTCACCTCCTTTACAACGTTGTCATACACCTATACGTCCTCAGCCGTGTAGTTCGGCAAGCAGCATCTCATCTCAGTCATCTACATTTTCATCATCTTCATCCAATTCTAGTCATGTTGATATTCAATATCAATCTTCTCACATTAACGTTCAATCACAAATACAGACAAATAAAGTCCGTCCATTACGATCAATCGCAGAACAACAACAACAACCGACCACTTATTATAATGGTATTGTTAGCCAAGCTAACAGCACGACTACCATTATTGGGCATCCACAATTACCTCCTCCACCGTTTACATCAAAAATGCCAGCATCCGCGAATCAACAGCAAGCAATAGCACCAAAAGCTCCTCCTGCTCCAATTAGCACTCCTATTGTCACAACAACTTCGACAGTTACAACAGGGTCACAACAAAGACTCATAGCACCCATTACTCCCTCTTCTCAAACAGATAAATCAATTCCTAGCACTCGTCCTCCATTAATATCACTTCCCCCGTTCATTATTCCATTAGCAACCTCAGATGACTGCTATTTTGTACGTTACGACCGAGATGTAAATAGTTATGACGGTATGAAATTTTCTTATTTAATTGATGATTTGACATCATATAATAAACATAAACGAACAATACGCTACGTCTCACTGAATGATTTGTGATTATATTGATCAACAATAAAAAAATTTCATTTTTATCTTGTACAAATGATATTTTTGTGTGTCGTTATTTAGTAGCTCTATTCATTGTGAGCATTTCCTTCCTTTTTCAGATGATTTATTTGTGTTTGTTTGTTTGATCTATTTTGTTGTTTTCTTATTCAACTGAAATGAATGATGATTGTACAATCCACGATCTTTCTTATTTACTGTGCGTTACTATCTTTCTATCTCTATATGTTTTTAGTTTGTAGATGACGAAGAAAGTGTTTTCTATCGTTTCTTTTTTTTCCTTCTGTGTAATAGAATCTCTTGTCTGCGAATGAATTAGTCACCCAAATATTCTCGAAACTCTTTTTTCATAAGTGACATGTAAATATGGTTGCTTTGAACCACTTTGATCATGCAATAGATTATTTTTTTGTAGCTGTCTGACATTTTTTATGATGATCATGTTTTGTTTTGCTTTGCTTTTATTTTCTATTTTACGTCATTAAGTGTAATTCGTTTTTGTTTTGTTTGTCTCATATACACATACATACAACATGCACACATATACACCTATTGACTTATGGGATAAATATACGTTATTATATTTTGATATTGTTCAAACTCCACTTTATTTGAGCTTGATCAAGTTATTTTACTACTTGTATTAAGAGCCAGTTTAACTCTGTAAGGCTTGGGCGTCTAAAAACGGTTGTATAACAACTTTATCAAGGTTAATTGTATGAAGAATCCGCAAGTTCTCAATTTTACTAGAGAAAATCCGTTGTCCTGTGCATTGTACTAGTTTTAAACAAAGGATTGATTAACAGTTTTCATGGAATACAATGAGGAGATTGCTTGTTACACAAAGCGAAGAATTCTATTTGATGGATCGAAAGGCTTAATAGCGAACGGTTTGAGTGGAACGGAAGAAGAGGAGGGATGAAAATCAACTCATATTGATGGTGAGTTATTTACCCATTGTTTGATATTCACAATCACAAAATGAAAGATACAGTGGGCCGAAAAATAAATCATACATCTTGATGAATCATATGGCATAATTGCTTGTAACTTGAGTTTCTGAAAAAAACCTAACCCTAAGAAAACCAGTCTTCTTCGACTTCGACTGAGAAACAATTTGAAAAAACACCATCGTATTGAACCAAAGTTTTTGAACAAAATGAGACGTCTCTGAACTTTCTATAGAAATTTTCCGTGAAGCTGGATTCGATTAACGAAAAGCCCTAGACGCACTTTTCGCTGATGTTCTGTTGACTTTTACATGATGAGATCACGTGTGTTCTATACGATGACGTTGTTTTCAAATTGTTTCTAAGTGGGATTCGAGGAAGGCTAATTTTCTTAGGGTTGGATTTTTTCAGAAGCTCGAATTACAAGCAATTATGATCGAATCTCTATACGTACTGTACCGTACTAGATCAAAAACTCTTTCAGCTATTCAAATTCTTTTCTCAGATTTGTTCTAGCTATTATTATGATTGAAAAGAGAAAAATCAAGAACGGAGGTATATGGTTAATTTTTCGGCCTACTATATGGACTAATGTTTTTCTCTCTTACTTTGGACATGTTCTGAAGTGTTTACGCTTGAATTAATATAGATGTCATCTAGCTAAAATCTAGTCTCATTAATGTCTTATAACCAAGATTACCAATATTTGAATAGTAACGGTGGTGATGATGGTGGAATGAGGTCCAATTATCAAAACGAACAACGATACGATTATTATAACAACGGTTATCGAAATAATAATTATTTATCAAATTCATCGTATCATCAATATAATCATAATTTAGAATACATAAATTCAGACTTTAACTATACAAACTTTTCTAATAACTCGAATAATCAAATTTCGTATATAACACCGCCACCGTCCTATAACTCTTCATCATGTAATTGGCTAAATTCTCATGCAGATCAAACTTATTTGCAAAAGAAAACACCACGTCATCCCAAATATGATCGAAATAATCCATTTCGTTTTACTAGCATAGATACACAACAACAACAGCAACAACCACAACAACAAGTAATGAAAAATGATTTACGAACAAAAAATAAAGCGAAACGTCTTCGTGAATTAGCTAGGCAAAAAAAACAATCTGTACTAGCGTTTTTAATAAAGAAAACAACAAATCCACTTGAATCTTGGAAACAATCAGTGAAAAAAGCAAATATTAGTGAAGGTCTAGAACAAAAATCACAATATTTGGAAACTATGTTACGTTTAAAACAAAAACCATCTGTATCATCGTCCACATTTGATCGAACAAGGTATGAAGTACTATAAACAATAGAATCTTTCTAAATTTTTTTCTTTAGGTTTGCTGATGATGAAACATTAAAAAGTACAGCAAGAATTACTAACACATTATCAATTGCAACATCTACTGAATTAGAATTAATCGGTAATATACATGAATACGACGATATAGCTAAAATAGAAAATTTTTTATTCAGCAATAATAATGAAATTCTCACTCCTGCGTCAACATCACCACAACAACAAATGCCGTCATCATCGGTACGTAAATTCTTTCGACTTTATTTATCAATGAAGTGAAATTTTAACTACCCATTGCTTCTTATTTTAGACATCTGTGGATAATATTGAACATGAGAAAAATGGACAGCAGGAAACTACAAGGAAACCGGGTCAAGGCTTTCTTATTGATTGTGAAGAAGATGACATGGAAGAACAACAGGGGGAACCATCTGACAGTATGAACATAAATGACGATCAGCCCAAAGCGATTCTATCAGATTTAGCGTTAACTATTCCGAATGACAATCCACGAGTGAGAAAGAAATCAAAAAAGAAAAAGAAAAGAGTGCAACTTTCTACCGAAGAAGAAGCAGAATCATTGACAAACTGGATAGTCGAATTTCCCACCACATCTCCAATAGATGATCACTCGATAACAACCACCAGCTCTATAACACCTGTTGATAATGAGCTTTTGAACAGTATACTAAATTATGATGATTCTCCTACAAATAATTATTCTCAACTATTATCGTCTAACCAGCAATTAAAACGTCCTCATGTCGACATGATATTGACTATGATTAAAGATCAGCAGGAACAATTAAAAAAATTAAGATCATGTGTCATGATGGCATTAGGCATTTCACCAAATTCTAGTAGAAAATCATCGACATCATCGTCAATTAGAAAAATAAATTCGTTAAACATTAATGAAGAATTGATCAAAACATTCTTAAATGCACAACAAACCGTTGGATGTTGGCTATGCTCAGGTAAAACATTTTGTGAAATGGGTATACAAACGGATTGAGTAAATAGAATTATATAAAATGATTTATTTCTTTTCTTTGTTTATTAAATATTATAAAGATAGTCTATTTTTTCTGTACGAAATAAAGTGTGAAAAAAGTTATTATCATTTAACATTTTTATTTTATTAGATATGTACAATTTTACTTCTACTAGTTCATTCAGCTCAGTTTTATTTTATTCTTTGACTATCATTTCTTTTAATAAACTTAGGAGATTCCGTTTCTATACTACCGTCATTCATCCGTCAGATAGATAGAAATAGAGGCTTCAAAATTATTCTAGAAAGGGTCGAGAAGAGAGCTGTAGAAAGAATCTTATGCAAGTTCATATTGCTCGCCATTTCCTTTCTTGGTTCATTTTTCTGAGGTTGCTACGATTAGCAATCTTTCCGGTCCATTATGTTAGTGCACGCCACTAGTAATAATACTGAAATATTTGGTTTATTCTATTTCATTAAAGTTTATCCATTTCGTCACTTAAATTTTCCCCACAAACTTAAAGTTCATGACAGAAACTCACAAATTGTGATTTAATGACGATTAAATCAAGTTCATGCCTGATTGATTATGCGCGCTTATATATACCACTATATAATTGCTAAGGTTATAATAATCCATCACTTTCCTCAGTTTCAGTTCATTGAGGGAGAAAAAACGGCTCCAGGAGCTTTCCAGAGCCCTTGCAATGCTTTCAGACTTGAGATGCTATATGTTGTGCGGAGGGATGCTCTGCGATGCTAAGAAAGAAAAAAGTCGCCTTTTCCCCCTTGCAGTTCATTCTCGCAACATACTTTGAATTTACTTTATAATTCTTCTCGCATTGTTTTAATTTACGTAATTAACATGTTTTCTAAACCAAGGAAAAGAGAACTACCAGTTAAGCAAGTAATAACTCGATCGAAAAGAACATGTTTGGATGCACGTGACAATGTTAATGCCCCAATGGACAATAATTTATCAGTAGATGATAATTCAGACACGAAGCTTGATTTGTTAAGCGATGCACTACGATCCATTGGAATAATTGGTCGGCTTTATCTACAACGGTGGTAGTCGATAGCTTAATTGCAGAAGAATTGTGCAAAGGATATCTTCTTGGACCTATTGTTTCACCGCCATTTGATTTCTATCGGATAAGTCCATTGACCGTTGCATATCATAAAACTACTGGCGAGCCACGACTTGTCATTGATTTACTTGCACCTTGCGAGAATGATACTCACAAAACTAGTAACTCGCTAATTGATAAAGATGAATATTCAGTAAAATACGTTAAGTTAGATAATACTATTCAATTAACACACACACGTGGACAGAACATCTCTAAGGTTAAGACAGACATCGTAGACGCATTCAAGTTGTTGCCAGTATTTCCGGACCTTTAGAAGTTTCTCGAGATTACAGGGCCGTAAATTGCGGGGTGGGAGCATGTACACTCTCCTCAAAAATAAAAATCTGTCCTTTCCTTCCAGCGGAGGTTAACATTTTTTCTTTATTTTTGGTCGCACAGCGAAAAAATCGCCAGATGAACCAGATCCAGATATGACAGCAATTAAATTACTCTTCAAACGTTTAAATATTCCTTTATCACCTTCAAAGACAGCTGATCCTGCAATGATGATTGAACATCTAGGTATCATCTTTGATACTCGTCGTATGTTAGCAAGCTTGCCAGAAGATAAACGTTTGTGGACACATAAAGTCGTTAAGCAATATTCACTGAAGCGGAATTGTACTAAACGCGAATTGGTGAGTCTTCTCGGTTATTTGGATCATGCACCGTAAGTGATACCACCAGGCTGATCATTTATGTCTTATTTAATTGCACTGGCTACCACAGTTAAGCCATTGCACCATTTCGTGACGCTATTTCGGGAATGTCGGTACGACTTGCGGATGTGGAAGGTATTTCTCAAAGTCTGGAACGACGTTTCGACATTTTACAATCCTCGTAGAATTGCTGCGCAAGATTTCGATTCGTACACCGACGCGAGTGGTGCATATTTTAAACAGGTTTTGGTGGATATTTTAAACCTGACTTTTGTTTGTAGAATAAACAAATTATACATCATTCGATGCAGTTTTATGAGCTGATTTCAAATATCACATTAGTGTTCACTAAAAACGCTTCTGAGGTGAGAAAATCAGATTTTATCTAAAAAGCTATAGAAGCTGGAAAGTGTGGGCTACAAAATAAGACCACTGCCAGTACTCCACAACCTTACCTCCACGAAAATTATGGATTTTTGAAGTTTTTCCTTCAAAAGCTAAAAAAACTCAATTTTTTAGTTTCACTTTTCTCTCATTTTCTGTACATGCAAAATTTTTCTTACACATAGTCTGGTAGAAGAAAGTGTTTTCTTCACAATGAGATGTTTTGCAGAATTTTCCGATGACTTTTCGCGGCGATATAAACATCGCGGCAAATGCTATTAAAAAAGTGACCTATGTACAAAATGCGTTTTTTCTCGAGAACTATTTTTTTGCTACCAGGCTTCATTATGCCACATTACGACCCCCCTTAAATTTCATCCGATCGAGTTTAAAATTTTACCAGAGGTACTCAAGACACTATTGCAGAGGCAATTTTTTGGAATTTTATTTTAGACTTTTCTTTATCGACTTATAGAGTTTCTAAAATTGAAAAAAAAAGGTCTCAAAAAAATTTCCCCAAAACTACCTCTGCGGAATGACCTTGAGTATCTCTGGTAAAATTTTGAACTCGATCGGATGAAATGTAACGGGGGTCGTAATGTGACACAATGAAAAATCGAGTTTTCTGAAAAACTGGTGAACGGTAATAGTTGAAATCTTGAGACAAAAACAAAAAAGTGCTCCATTGAGTTTCCAATCAGTTCTGAAAATACGAAACCCCTAGCGACTTTTAGTTTTTATTTCACAGCATTTCTACAGAAATCCCAAAAAGAGAGGAGGGGTACCCTTAACAAAGTTTGTATTCTAATTAACCTAGTACGTTAATTAGCGTCGTCCTTCAAAAAGTGTTTAGCTTTTCAAATTCTCCTCGACGCGCTGAATGCGGTGAACTTTTCTATTTTCTGAAATTCGCCTTTCTAGCGCTAAGAAATCAATGACGAATGTGTTCCCTGTCTGCTGCAGACTCCCATTAACGTGAACAAAGCTGAATCGGTGCTCACCTTGATTTCCTGTGACGTTGAATGGCTCTGACTTCTAGATATCACTTAGCCATACTACTAGAGCTTCCAGAAAAATTCACAGAATGATATGTAGAAGTTAGCCATCCAGCAAAATGGAGTAATTCGGAATAGTTGATAATAACTCGTTGGAAAAGGACTGGCACTAATTAAACTTAGTGAATTTTCAGAAAACTTTTATATGAGTTGATAGAGAAATGTTTACTCTATCTGTCTGTGCGTTTTTTCCGGTGACAAATGAGTCAGATACGATTAGAATACTACGAAAATTTGAAAGTCTGTCTATAATTGCCCCATGTTACTCTATGCAGTTTGAGCTGGACTTTCTATCGTGTACTGTGAAAGTTTCTTCGGATATTTCTATTATGGCCTTTTATTCTGTGAGGACGATTATTTAAGTACTTTACTATATTCCTGGCAACAAGGTATGTTTTGTTTCTACTGTTGTAAAGAAGTTTACATTTAACCAGCTATATTTAACTTTAATTATTTGGACTTTAAGGTTTAAAGGAAAACTTATCTAAAAATTCCCTATACTAGAAAAGTGAATTTCTAGCTAAAAGAGACTGAAATAAAGTTTAGATCTTTGACCGTTTTTTGGTAAGCCCCTCCCACTCAATGGTCTATGTTCGAGAGGAAATTTTCGATCTTAACCAAATTCATAGAGAATGTTAGCTTTATCCAGGTACGTTTAAAGTAAAAATTTGAACTCGAACTGCTGAATTGTCTCAGAGTTATTCCAGACACAAGGATAAAAAGATAGGTCTTGCCATGTACAAGATTTCTCCTTTATTTTAAGAAGAACTTTCTCTAAAAATTTCGAATTAGTCTTGAATTTAACGAGAAAACTCGGCACTATAAGATAGCAGGAATACCTTTTTCAAAAATCGGGCTCTCCTATGTTATAGCACCGAGTTTTCTTACTTCAAGGCTAATTCGAAATTTCTAGAGCTTAAAATCAAGGAGAAATCTTGCAAATGGCGTCAGGTTTAAGTTAAAAAAGCAATTTTGTGCCGTTATTTTTCCTCTTACGCGTCCAAAGGCATGCATATGTAAAAAAACGATTAAATATACTAAATATACTAAGGTAGCATAATCATCAGTCTTTTAATAAAGGACTGGAATGAATGAATAAAAGAATTATTAAGGTTTTTTGAATTAAATTTAAGTTTTATTATAAGTGATAATACTTTAGTTGTATAATTAGACGATAAGACCCTATAAATTTTAAATTTTATTTTAATTGGGGTAATTTTATTGATTTTATAATTATTATTTTTTAATTATCTCTCTTTGTATTCTGTTGTTTTCGTGGCAGGTGTTCCTCTGGCAGTTTTTTTTCGTTAAATCGATAGAACGAAAAAGCATATGCAACATACAAAATTTCCATCATGTCATCTATAGATGCCTTACGGCATTCAAGAGGTTAATACATGGTAATATTTGACCATGTGATGTGGGAATAATTTCTCAGATAGTCAGTACAGATCAGAGTGCCTAAATCCAGTTTTTCGTAAAAAATCAGGAGTTGATCAGGAGATTTTTGTTTTCGAAATCAGAAGAGTATCAGACAGTTTTTTCTTGGACAAGCAAAACAAAAAAATCCAATAAGTTTCTCAAAACACATAGTTTTTTTCAAAAAAGTTTTTTTGAAATATTGTTTGATGAAACAATATTATCATTTATTACAGACTGCAATACGGATTGAGGAAGAACATTTTGATCTTGAAGAAGTTTGGAAGTTCACTAATCTCATCTTCTTGTGATGAGAATATTCGATAAGCACACAGCGGATTCTTTCAATGTACAATTATTTAGACTCTTGATTCAGAAATACTGTTTCTGAAACTGATAATCTGTTTTGGAAAAAATAAAATCGATGCAGGAAATCAATTAAAAATCAGGAGATTTGGGCACTCTGGTAGAGATACATCATATATCTAATTTCATTTCATTCTCTATTAAATAATCGACCTTAGTACACTGCACTCGTGCACAATAGCACGTTTCAACACACGTGTGAAAATTGTATCTCAGTTGAGAAACGAATATTTTCGCAGAAATATTGGTTTCTTAACTGAGATACCATGCACGCTGTACTCCATTATTAGGACAGATGCAGAATACAAATAAAACATCGCATAGGGCTCTGCGTCCTCTTGGAAATTAAAATTCGTCAAAATATTTAGATGAGATTCTTGTATTCAACCACAACTCATAGTATATTGTTGGTATCTATAGTCGACAAACTCAGAAAAACGAGAAATTCGATGACTCGCAGAGTTCCCGTTCTATATGAGTGACTTGCATAACCATTGTACCGTTTGAGAAAAAAAACACGATAATAAAAAGTTTCAAATAAACAAAATCGGAGTCGTACGTTTGATAAAGCTATATCGATTGTGTATAAACATAATATTTTCCCTGTACTTTAGAGTTTGAGAAGGCTCCGATACAATGATTTTGAAGAACTACCCAATAGGTAGTGCTAGGTATTTTCACACAGGTTCGCCCACTTTATACAAAAGTTTCAGCGGGACGAATCTTACTATGCTCATCAGATAGAGCATGTCAAGTTACATATAAGTCGAAATTTTTTAATTGAAAAAGATTGGCCCTTTGGTGGTGAAACAATGCTTTCAAAAGTACCAAACAATAACACTATGGTCTTTAGAAAACGGTATTTTCGAGAGGAAAAACGCTTATCATTTTCTTAAAATAAAGACAACGTATAGACTCAATCAGCTTTTTGTGATGTCAGGCATAACGAGATTCTCGATTAGAGATATTTTCCAAAACAACGAAATTGGAACATGAAATATCATTAGTACTGTTGCGAAACATTTATAATATGACCATGTTTGCAATAAATTAGAATCGACGACAGTCGAATTGCACGTATTAAACATCAAATTGAGTCATCGCAAAACATAATGGTTTTGAATTATCATTTATCAGTTCTCTATGAATTTAATTGATTGTTATTATTTCACTGAATGAGACATTGGTAAAATTTTATCTATATAATTATACATATTTTCTAATGGCTTAGACAAAGTCAAATAATTTCAGGAAATTATTCATGATCGAAGAAAAAATAAAACGTCACTTTTTTATCAGTTTGTGGGAGTTTTTTAACGATCTTGGTTAGAATCTGACTAAAACTGTTTGCTGTTATTTTTCTAAAAAGAAGGAAGAGTTCATAATATCATGTTTTGCCATTAGAATGTCATATGTTCATCTAATAAGGGTAAAAAAACTGGAACATATGCTTTTCTACGATTCCGGAACAACGTCAATAATGCAGAACTTTTAACATTTTGATCCTGAAAAATGTCTGTGATGTAAGCTCTTTTTTTTCGGTATAAATGAATAAATAAATTTCTCATTTTGCAGCTTGCATAAATCTAAAAGAAAAAAAAGATCATCACAACATATGACGATACATTCAAAAACGTTGTAAATTCAATGTTTTGTTTATAGAAATTTTAGAAAGATTATCTGATTGATGTTTTTTATCCTCTATACGAGGATCCATCTATATATCTATATTTCTGCTGTTTTTGTACTAAAAAAAGTTCAGGTGTGAAATACTGTTTGTATTAGAATTTC